AAGTCTCAATGACTTACATTAAACTGTCTTCCCATAGACATCTAAGCGTCCCTAGCATTCAGACACCTGTCCACTTTCCTGCTTCCATATATTTCTAACTTTTCCATACTCATCACTCATGATGGTGAATGAACTTGTTTTATGATGTCGGCCTCCTCCCACTTTACAATTGAGCCTTCTACTTGCGCTATAGTGGACAACACAATGCAATGTTACCATCAGCATGAAAATACATCATGGAGAAAAAACTAAAACATAGCAATTTATAGATTGCCCTTCAAACAAAATAATATTACATTTTCATATTTGGCTTCTCATTATATATTAATACATTTATTGTAATTATATTTTATGTTTCATCTTTCATTATTAATTTGATTTTGTTTATCATCATCTTTTTAAAATTATTTTGTGTTCTTTTATTCATATTTAAATTTATGTTCAAAATTCTGTTAGAATGTTACATTCTAATGATTAAATGTAATATAATTCTTGAGGATGCTGTAGAACAAGCCAAAAACGTTTATGATTATTAAACGTTTTCCTTGGCAAAATAAGGTGTTGTATGTGGTTTACATTATTTCTGAGGGTAAGTGGTTGAGAAATCATGTACAACTTTAGCTATTTGTCAATCAATCTCCATCTCTTTTTTAACCTCTCATGGTTGAGAGCTTTATCATTTCTCTATGTTCTAACATAACATTGTTTTTGCATTCTTTTAATCTGTGCATAGAATCCTGGTATCTTCAACATACATCTCAACCTCCTCCTTGTCTACTAAAGGTATTTTGTACACACCAGCACTATCCAATTCATTCCTCCTCTCATTTTCATTCCTTGTTAAATAATATTGTCATTGATTACATATATCTTCAATTGATCCAAGGTAATTAAATTTTTATTATTTAATTATTGATTTTAAGCCAAATAATTGCTGTAATGAATTTGGCTACTTTACCACAACTATTAATAATTAAATTCTAAGTAATCTGATACTAGAAGTAAGTAATTTAGACATTCTCTCTTATTAAATTTAATAATTATAATTAAATTAATATTTTACTATATAATTTATAATATTCTGGAAGAAAAGAATTGGCCTGGAGAAGGACTTGAACCCGCAACTCCCACTTACTGCGCAGATACATTGCCAGTTATTACACTAACTGGACTTCTTTCCAACCCTATGCTTCCAGACGTAGTGGTGGTGGTGGTGCTCTGATTCATTACAGTGATCGTATGCTTATTATTAAAAATCAGGCTTTGAGATGCTTATATATTACTGATTTTAATTTAAATGTTATATGAATTTTTAATATGCAATGTTAATTATCAAATTTTGTATTAATTTTAATTTCAAACTTGATAGCATGTGCATTCTTTATACTCAAATTTTATACTTATTCCTATTTTATTACCCTATTAATTATTTAGCATTTATTCTATACTTCTGTATTGACTAATAATGAGATCATATTTCCTGTAATGAAACAGAACTTATAATCCTATAATTTCTAATATAAATGATAGAAAATTATACTTATTCCATCAGTTAACTTTGGTAATTTTTATTCTTATTAATTATTAAAATTATTTATTTTGAAAAAACTAAAAACAAAAAATACTCTTCAAATAAAATTATCTTTACAAATATCTATCAATTATTTTGGTATTAAAATAATTGGCTATGAGCCAGAGAAAGTCGTTTAATAGCAGGTGTATCTACAGATGTATGTCACAGACTTATAGTGGAAATAAATACAAATGTACACAGTATTATTATGCAACTTTTAACAGCATGCATTGACGATAAATAAAATAATACTTTTTTAATGCTTGCAATATTAAAGCCAAACAAACTGTTGAATTATTGTGATATAATATGGCTATGTTACTAATTAAATACAAAATAATTTGTCTCGAGGTTATGTTACCATCTTGTGCTAGATTTAATAATTATAATAAACTAAATTTAATTTAGAATTTTCTGAAAGAAAATAAATGACCTGAAACAGAACTCTAACCCGCAACTCCTCCATACTATGTGGACATGTTGCCAGCAACACTACATGGATCTGCAGGCAATCTTGCTTCATTTCGGCAGATTGTTTGGCTTTAACTAAATATCAGATTTGTGATTTGAGTTCATATATTTGCAATATTAATATTAGCTTAACATTTTAATTTTCTTGAAACTCTTTTTTAATTATTTATGATCTGTTAAGAAGGCAAATTTATAGCATCCTTTCTCACTTAGCACCCAGTACATATGTTCCTTTGCCTCTCCTCAATGTAGCAAGGAAGGTCAGGAAGAATCATTATATAGAAAACAATAGATCCTAACAATGTAAATTTTAAAAATATTAGCTTTTAATTACTTAAAATTTAAGCCTCTAAATGTTACAATTTCAATTTATTATCAAAGAAATTGAAAGCTTTAGTCAATATAAAAAGTTAAATATTCATTACTTAATATTTGTATCATCATCAAAATCAATGTTTTATTTTTTGTTTCTTTAATTTATAAACCTGCTATATATACTTCATTAATAGAACATTCAATTTAGCTAATTTATATGCAATATTTTATTACAAACTTGAAAATTATGCAATTAAAAATATTAAATTTATCTAATAAATTTTACTAGAAAACATATTTCATTTTTATATTTAGAAATATGTTTACAATGAATATAAATTAAATCATTAGAATAAAAATATTGAAAATATAAACAATTATATGAGTTTAATTAAATACAGGTATACCTCGGGTTACGTCATTTCAAGTTAAGTCGTTCTTGATTATACGTCATTTGTCAAAAAAATACATGGAAAAATAAAAATCAAGTTCAAGTCATTTTATTCAACTTTAGGTCTGTCCGCCAGAAATATTTAAGTCATAATATCACTAGCGTTAAAAGTACATAAAATCATATTAAAATATGTACATTTACAGTAAATGTTAATATAACCATCATAAATCCTAGGAAACGAAATATGAAAACATCTGTGACTCTGTATTGTCTTATTTAGCGGTCTTTAAGAGCTCAATATTGACATTTTTCATGGTAGTTCCAATATCTACCGTTTGGCGTTGTTGTCAGCGCCACTCGATATTGGTAAATTTAACATAAATTAGTTTATTTTCTACTATTGCAAAACAATTTTAATAACTGTATTTGTTATTTAACCTTACAAAATCATCTTATTTTATAATGTCTTAGAGCAGACCACATTCAGAAATAAAGAGTCCGCAATGTACTGTAAACATCGCCAAATTGTAAACATGTACATTTACAAGTATGTACAGTACATACATGTATTCGTAAATTTAGATTACTTTTTTTTCTGTACTATATTACAAACTAAAATTTATTTGTTTGTAAGCTTAAAATAGATTCTTATTAACCATATATTATTAAAAATGCATTTATAGATAAAATACAGAACTGGGAATGGTTATTTGTGGTTTAGCCTAGTGACAAATAAATTCGAAAACAAGTAAATTTGACTTAAGTCACCTCTTCTGGAACCAATTACTTACATAAGGTGAGGTATACCTGTAGTATTATCTGAAATATTTTATTAAGAACTGACTGCAAGTAAACATTATCGATAGTTTGCTGTATAAATTTTCATCTATAACAAGTTAGTCAAAAATTATTTACAATTCCTAATGAGAAGCCATAACAGCTGTCATAAATAAATCAGTATTTTGTAATTAAAAAACTTGTAAATAATTAAATACATTTTTACTTTATTTATTGAACTCCTTTAATAAAAGTAAACAATAATTCCTAAAAGAAAAAGTTATCAATCACAAATTATTTTTATTATTATTATTACTTTACTACAACTATGATCTATTAATAGGACTTATTACACTGATGTAACCTCTGGATGACAGAGAGAGAATAGCTAATCTATTGATTTAATTTTGGTTAAATCAATAGATTAGCTATTCTCTCTCTGTCATCCAGAGGGTTACATCAGTGTAATAAGTCCTATTAATAGATCATAGTTGTAGTAAACTAATAATAATGAATAATTAAAAAAAGAACAAAAAGCATAAATTAATAAATACTTTTATTAATCTTCAAAAATGATAAAACAAAACTCAACACTATACAAACAGAATGGCTTAACTAGAGCAACCTTAAGCAATTCTATTTGTATAAATTATTTTTATTAATGCCAAATAAAAATAGTAATTTGAGAAATAATTCCGTTTTGATGAATAAACTATTTTGAAATATTTTATACCAAAATAATGTATTACAAGAAATAACAGAACTAAAAATAAAGATAAAGATGCATAATCCAGCATTTTGATAACTGGATTAAAAAGAAAAACAACAATATGTAGATATAATAGTACAATGTACTATTATATCTACATCTTTCTTATAATCTCTTTACATAATAAATACCTTCTCATTATTTTTCTAAGATTATATTTTTAAGAATAGTTTCAAGTTTAAATATGTACTACAAAAATAATATAATCAGTTTTAGCAATTTTCTTCTCTAATTGCACTTTTTCCAACAGGTTAATTATTTCTGCTTTGACATTGTCACATGACTCATTTTTGTTTACCTGACATTGTAAAACATTTTACCATTTATAAAAAATATAAATTGCAACACTATGACGACAATGGTTGTGAATAGGATAAAATAAACTTGAACAGTAGTACGGATTAACTGGAGGGGACTGCATTAAAGCCTCAAATATTGAGCTTGAATTTGGATAATCAGCATTGTGTTTTTGTGTGTTCCTTGAAAATAGTTTGGTAAATTAAAAAGTTAAAACTTTCATCATAATAATTGTTGTTGTTATGTTTATTTTTTCATTGCATATATTCTGTATATACAGCTACAACTCTTAAGTAATCTTTTCATTTTGCAATACTATCATTAATAACTGATTAAACACAATACGACATTTAATATATTTAATTAAAACAATAATTTTAAACTTTAAATAAATATAACAGTACCTCTTGCTTTCTCAGTATATCATCCTTACTATAATCACCAACTGTAGTAATATGAGTACAATTGCTAGACATCTTTCTTTATCAATTTTGCAATTTCCTACATAAAAAAAAATTTTATTAGAATGACATTATTTCATTAATAGTTATAATATGGAATAGAGCTAAAGACTACATCTGAACTCAAATTTATCGACACAAGACTTACAGGCAAATTTTATTCTCTAGAACACTCTGTTCTGGCATCTCTCCTCAGTTTCCAACTGAGTACTGAGAAACTACAATTACAAAACTATCAATATAACATCCAGATTTAAAAAAAAAAAACTTAAAAATATACTCATTAAATTTTCTAACATTTTCTACATTCTTATAACAGAATAAGTTATATCAATTCTGTTAAAATAATATGCAAGAACCATGCAAAATATTTGCATTATGTTCAGGGGAACAATTTTAAAATTTTGAAAATTTTAATACATGTATATACAAGTATATTTTTAAATGTATTCATGGAATATGGATGCTTTATCAACAATTTTGTAATTAACTTGGCAACTGAGGAGAGGCAAAAAAGAGTCCAAAATACATATTGACAGACCTGAGTATTGTAACCCTAGAAAATAAAATAAAATTTTCTTCCAAGTCTTGCATTAATAAATTGAAGTGCAGATATAGTGTCTAATGTTAATCCTGCACTTATATCAATATCAATTTATAACTTTGTTAATCTCAAGAACAGTTAGACAGGTGAGAATTGAAACCAGGTGTGGAAAGCTTAGGGGGTCAGAGAACCCAATTAACTATATAATTTCTGGTCTGGACACACATAATTTCAATTCAGAATTTTTATTTAAATTAAAATATGATTAAAATTGCAGCCCAGCATTGTAATAATGTCACAATAAGTAATATGGAATTATTTTATTTATAAAAAAAGTCATAAAAAATCAATACATTAACTAGATTATCCAACAAAACAATATATTCATCATAAATTATTTCCTTTAAACATCTATTTCCAAATTCATTAAGCTTTAAAGTGAACTAATAATAATTAAGATATAAAATAATGAAGTATAATTAATTTATTACAGAGCTATGGAGTCAGAGTTTAGTCAGTAAAAATAGACTGATTCCAACTCCTAATAAATTGTAATATGATAAATATATATTAAAATTTCTTATTTCACACATAATAATTTGGTTAATATATTTTATTCAAGCTATATTTTATATTCAAACAATAATCCTGAAAAGAAAGAACTGGTACAGACAGATGTTCCTGATTTTCTTTTATAGTTTTGTTCTGTTATATACCTTATTACTTTATAGCATTTTAATAAAACTAATATTATTGTTCTAATTTTATAAATTTTGTCTTTTCTTTAAGCGCTAAGATCACTGAATAGGTCTTTAATAAATAAAATTTAAAAAGTGGCATAGTTATAGCCTTTAGATTCAAACTTTAACAGTTATGGTACTAAAAAGTAGTCATGTTGATAGTGATGTATGTTGTGTGCTTTCAATTGATGTGAAAAGTACATAATTAATATATTTATTATTTAGTTCCTGTATTGATATGTAATAAAGAAATCAGAGTCAGAGGTATCAAACTAAGAAGTAAGAGTCAAAGCTATTGTGTACAATACTGCATCCCTGGTTTTTCATTAGATTCACTCATATAAAAACTAAAGTCCAAAATTAAAACTGAAAGGAATAACTTATAATAAAATGAACACCATACACACTTTTCCAGCAAAAGGAATTTGGTTTTGAAGGTAAAGGTTTAAAAACATTTCAATTTGGAACTTTGGAATTTGTAGTTTGAAACCTGAGGTAGGTTTATAAAATTAACTGAAAATGTTTATACCGCAAACTACAACACATTTAACTGTGTTGACAGAGCTAATAATACCAAAATTTCTGCTAACTGTAATCTTATTTACTTCTCATACTTAATGTTATTGGTCAGTTATTATAATCAGCATGAGCAAATCCCAAAGTGATTTCAATAAGTGGATTCTACTGTATATCAATAATTAAAATTTAAAAAATATAGAATAAAATTTATGTTAAAATACAGTATAAATGTAAACAAACACAAAGAAAAAATTTCTGTAATAGAAAATCTAAATCTAGCATAAAAATTTATAAAAAATATGAATCAAAATGTTAATTTCCTAGAAATTTTAGGAAGAGAATTCCTAATATTAGTAAGATTAACTCTGTGCTAACTATATAGAAGAAAAAATAAAGAATTTTACACTACTACTAACAGCTTAAACATTAAAGCCAAAATTATAATTATAACTAGTATGTTTTCCATCCATTAAGAATGATCTAGAAGGTATTAATAATCTAAGAATGAAAGGTACTAATATCACTACAAGGTGTTTTATAGGGAACTACGTGACTTACAACTTTTAGAAGATTAAACAGTGCCATCCACAATTCTGGTATATCCAGCATGGGAGAGTTGCATGGTGACAAACATTGAGATGTAAAATGATTCCCATATGAATAATGTTTTTTCATCCCCACCAATGTTTTCCAATTGCCACCAAATTGGTTCAAAGTTTCTATCACTTTTTCAGCTAGCTCTGTTGTACACTTGTTACACACTATATCATTGCGATGTTCTGAAAGACAGAGGCAGAGCATCTAGTAGTGGCCCCAATATATGATAATTTCAACCCAGTTAGGGGATTTCATAATGGGATCATAAATACCTGAGACTTTTCATAGAGTGTAACTTCGTCTCTATCATTACAAAGTATCTTACGTAAGTTGGGCTGGAGCACTAGTGGCAAAATATAGCCAAATTTCTTGAAAATTCAACAAATAAATAACGAAGTCAGACCCAGGTACGAAATGGCTGGCATTACGAAAACCAATTCCTTCTTAGAATACAAAGTGGATAGTGGAAATAACATGCATTTGACCCAGTTATCTAAATGTTTGAACTTGGCTAAATACCGAGCACTGCAAACAGCCAATTTAAGACAAAAATCTTCTCATCTACAAGAAATTGAGAGGACAGATATAAGAATGCCCTGCATATCAGCACTATTTTTTGTATTTAAGTCAAGTTTTTGTACTTTGAGGGCTGAAAGGCCATAGAACGGATGACATAAGGAGATTCACCAAATTTATGATACACAAAAAATAAGATGCAGTTGTCAGACTATATATAAGTAGGTCTAAAAAGGAGATCTTCACATATTTCTCTTCCTCCATAGTAAAGGAAATGGTCAGAAAAATAGTCGACACAGATCATATAAACTTCAGTAACTCTATATCTGAGTCTTTCCATGCAAGTAGAATGTCATCAACATACCTCAAATATAGCAGGGAATAGATAACATATGGTAAGCAGAGATATAAAAATTTGAATTCTATGGCTCTCATGACTAATTCTGCAATGACTAATAGTGGTGAGCCCACAGATACTCCCTGCTTTTGCAAGTAAATGTTACCATAGAAATAGAAATAGTTGTTCTCAGTAATGAGTAGTGTATTTGCTAGCATGATTGCTTCAAAATGGGTCACAGATGGGTATAAAGAGACCACATCTATTTTGAAGAAATCTGGAAGCAAATTCCCTTGTAGTTAGTAGTGTTGGGGTATACTTCCAAATTCGTAAAGTATAACCCAACACTACTAACTACAAGGGACTTTGCTTCCAGAGAAGAGGATACAAGGATGAAATTAGGCACAAGAGCAGCAATTTTCCTAGCAAGCACTCTTTGTAGGAAATATGTTGGATGAGAATATTTATTCACTATGGGACAAAGTGGACAGAGAGGCTTACGTGTTTTTACATGAAAGAGTAGTCTAGGACATACTACATTGGCCGATGGGTCTAGGGATCCAGATAACGCTGATGTTACACCCAGCAAAGTGACAAGTTTTTTTACTTTTCTCAGCACAGAAGGAGTTGGATCTTCTTTCATTAACACAGATCCTGATTGTCGGAGGAAATCATTTCTGCATAAAACAAACTTCTTTGAGACTAAGAGCCTTAGATTCAAAGCATTCAATTTTTGGTAACACCAACAGACAGTATACATTATCTTTTTTTTGAGTTCTTCAATACTTAGAAATTTATTTTTTGTCCAATATTTCAAGAATAGTCAATAGGTCATTTTCCACAAGCAGTTTTTCAAAATACACAATTACATCTTTCAAACATAATTTTGACTCTTTACTAGGAATCAAATTATCATAATTACTTTCCAATAATAGTGGAGGACAAGATATACATTTCTTATTAAAATGTCCACTGTCCTAAACAAATGTCTGACTTCAGCTTAGATAGCAACTGATACATTCACTACAATGGCCAATATGCTTCATTTACATAATTTCTTTTGGTAAGATTGGTTCTAATTGGTTATAGTTTATTAATTTTCAAGGAAGAGAAAAGTACAGATTTTTAATGGAAATAAATAAATAAACAAAATGTTGAAATCCATGTGATTTACACTTACTTCACATACAAATTGGATTGATTTGGAAAAACAATTGTTTACTCATCAAGACAAACCAGCAATCTTGCAATATCAGTATGCTGCTATCAAGCCATGGGGTCTTCACCAAAACACTGAAAGAAAGAAACTAAGTTTCATGAGGAATCTCAACATACACAGCCTCTACAAGAATATGAAGGACCATCCAGACAAAAAACTTATAAATTATCATCAGAGACAACAGATTCAGTGAAGAACAGGAATACAATAGTGCATGATACCTCTACACAAGACTCAAGGAACACGCCATCAACAAAGAAAAGACAGCCTATCACCATCCTTGAAACTTTTGCTATGAAAGCAATATAGACACTTTCCTAGATGCTACGCTATTAAAATCAGTATGAAATTTTCCCAAATTGAAACACCTCAAGAAATATACAAATCCTTTTTAGAACGTTGAGTTTAAATGATAAACGTCTTAGTAAAATTTGTTTGAGTTTTATTTTGAAACAAGCTGAGTTACCTTGGTCGAAGTATTGGTTGGCTAATTGTGCAAGGAACGGAATCAATTTTGATAATTTGTTACAAGATGTTAATAGTGTTTATTTATTAAAGTTAAATAATTTTGATAATTATATTTCGAAGTTGAATCATGGTATATTATTAAGTTCTTACTGTGAGTGGTATAAGAGTCTGAACAAACCCTTTTTTGATTGTTTTATTTATAATAGTAATTTTTCATCTAATGTTATGGCTGTATTAATGCAAATAAGGTGTAATTCATTAAGTTTTTTATGTAATTACAGAAGAGACAGTTGCGTATGTGGTGTGGCTGACTCGCCATTGGATGCGTTTCATATTATCGCTGTTTGTACTTTTTTGTCAAAATTACGTGAGGAGACCTTTGGGGTTCCCTGTTTTTCATTTAATCAGTTTAAAAAAGTTATTTCTGATTTTGATTTATTTTTTAAGGCTTAAAGTGAAAGTAGTGGTTATTTTTATGTAAATTTCGGTTTGGGGCGTGGTCTGCCTATTATTTAACCTGTGGTTGCTTGGACTGCTTGGGAGACTATCCGATTTTTTTGAAAGAGCGATATAAACTGTTGTTTTTCTTTTTTT